GGGTTAGATAATAGCTTTATGCTCAGGAAAGCTAAGAGATCAGAGTTCATTCTGTGTTTATTCTCATCTCTCCAATTTCTGGATCGTTTTTTGCCAAGAAGCCTTCCTATACCCTAACCAGGGACAGGCTGAACTTTCTTCATCTCATCAAATTTGAAATATTAGTAGTTTGGTAAAGAATGTGTACTTCCTATCCACTGTTTACCCCAACTCATAATCAACCACAATATTTTCCCATATTCTAGAAAAATGTCAAATATTCTAAGGTCACCATAATAATGGTACTAAAGAACCACCAATATGAATTGTTATAATATCATTGTTACTACTGTATTACTCTGTGTGCAGATTGTGTGATTCCGGACCAATGCAAGATGTAACTGACCCTAGTAAGCAAGATGATCTTGCCAATTTCTTATTCAAGCATATATTCCTATCTACTAAGACTGTGAAGGCAGACAGAACTCTAGTAGATAGGACCTGGCCTAATTCATCTTTTATCCCTTGCATAAAGAATAAGTGCTAACAGATGTTTAATTTATGAATTCATGTATTGAATAAATTCAAAAAACAGATAAGCAATGATATAACAACAGGCAAATACAAACATTATTAGGATTTCAGATTTTTTTAAAAAGGTAAATGTTTGTTAATTATTACATTTTTAAAATACAGAACTGGATTCCAACAAAACAATTTAATAAAATAAGGCACAATGTTTAGTAAGGCAAAATTCATACAGAAGATCGAATACATACATTTTTTTATATGTCCTGGGGGGAAGGGGTAGTAGGTAATAGAGTTGAAGTAGATTAGATATTCTTTTTAGAGCATTTTCCATTATAAGGTTACATATAAATCTGATAAAATAAACTATAGCTTATGTTGAGAATAAAACTTGTTAAATCATATTGCTAAATTACACTTATTTTACCATTAAGCTTTCATTATCTATATATCTATGAAGATATTCCTAATTCACAAGATTTCAATTACAGAAAATTTAAAAATCAGATCAAAAATAGTAATTTGACCAAAGTAAAAGTCAATACATTTTAGTATCCTCCATTGATACTTGAAGGACCAAACTTTTTATTTATAAAAAGTTAAAAATACTGATTATTCTATAATTTTGTCCCATTATGTTTTTGTTTCTCATAAATTATGAAGAGGGCTCAAAATGCAACAAACCTCAACACAAGTCCGCACGATTGTTGATTGTTGTAAAGTGACTTTGAAGGTTAATATTCTTCCTCAACACCACCTCAATGTCAACCATTTCAATTAGTGAAAGAACTCTCTTAATATAAATAGTAAGCAGAATCAACCAATTTAGTAATGTTTTTGCAATACCAGCAATAGCACTAATTTTACGTCCCAGTTTCTTCCCTTAGATGGAATTCTGAATAAAAAATGTTAACCAATTTATTCACAGCTGAAGAAAGAAGTTCTGGTAAATGCAGATGGTCTTTCTGCCACGGCTTTCTGTATGACAGTATATAAATAACCTTCATTAAACTAATAGATTTTAATATATACTAGATTGAATACTGTCCTTTACATGAATTCTTGAGATTGACAAATGCTAGCTAAAAGTCTAGTAGCACCCAAATCAGTATTACCCTGTGAGTGTTCAATGATGTGTAATGGTTGTTAATGAATTGTTATTTTTTACATTAATTCTTAGTAAATATGAACCAAAAAATAAAAAAATAAAAAGCGAATGGAGGTATTTACATGCATAATATTAAAACATACCCCCTTTAAACCTACATAACAACAACAACAAAACAGTGGCAAAATATGCTAGGCCTCACAATAACAATATTTTTATATATTGCTATAAATATGAAGTTGGTTAGAAACCACTGTTACCCTTTGGTGGTACCAGATATATTTTTAAATTAAAATAATATGTAAGAAAATACACCTTTTCACTGATTTTATTTCAGACAACCCTGATGCTTATGGCTTTGACCTCAATAACAGTATACATGATTTCAGTTCTCTCCCCTGAAGCCCTAGCACTCATACCTGGGCATTATTTTAGGTGAAGAAATCTCTCAGGATCAGTCCTTATCTCTCAAGTGAAATACAAATAATCATGAGGCTGTCATAACTTATTAAATGATTAGTTTCCCAAACTTTGGGTCTAGAGTGGAGGATTTAAGGCACATGCTTTCTGACCATAAATCAAGACACTGCTACCTATAAAATTATGATGTTTATAATGAAAATACAAAACAGCATGCTATTAAATTCATTACTATTATATTGTGTTTAGTGCTTTGAACAGAGATACAATGAGGAATCAGAATTATGCATTACAGGGCACGTTGCCTAAAAACCTATACAGCAGCCTTTACCACAGGGTTAAACATTCCATACAACTTAAAATCTCACTATTTTGGACTAAATGGAGAGTGATATACAGATATACATGTATATGTATATTTTAATTTTATTTTTTTTCAGGGCTGAGGACTGAACTCAGAGCCTCGTATGGGGAATGGTATTTATGACATAATCATATTTACTTTTAGATAAGAAAGAGCTCATTTAGGTTAAAATTAGGTATTTCTAACTAAATGCTGCTAAACTAATTCTATATACATCTCTAACTAATATAGTTTTACCTACAGGGGTTATATGAGGTTTAGAAATAATAACCATTGTTTAAATACATAAATAGCTGCTGCTAAAATGCTTTAGAAGATCAAACTTTATTTGCACTATTTACTTAGTGTTTTGTTTTTTTTTTAAACACATAGTGAAAAGGTAAATATCAACCAGGGCTACCTGCCGTACCACAAATTTCAGGCTAATGAGGTACTACCTTCTTCTCTTTGTGAAGAGCCAGGTTGGCTGGAAGAAAATCCTATTACTCGTGGGCCCTCAGTTATGGCGGGATGTGAACAATCTCCCAAATCCAAGACATTAAATAAATTTAGTAATAAAGGCTTTTAGATGGTAGTCAATAAGCTACTTAGTGACTTAATTTAAAAACAATTCACTATTACTCTAAAGAGCTTTCTTGGCTCAGAGATATTCCTGGGTGTCTGGTGACTTCTCTGTCCCTATACTTTGTTGCTTTTAAAGATTTCTATACCACTTCAGTAATAAACTTGATATTTACAATGTCTGGTAAAATTAGTCTGCTGTATTATGCTGCACCATTATGAACTGCCTTTTACTCTTATTGACATAAACACAAAACTTTCTCACATTTGAGGTACAATTTACAATGCAAATCTTTAGAATTCTGTTAACTTAAAATTCTAGTATCAAGAATTTTAGGACAAGAGATTCCTTCGGCACACATTTAGAAATAAAATATGAACAGTTACCTCTAGATCTATCTCTACTACTCATATACAGGGAATATTGAGAATTCTGACCACAGGTCCTTATGTCAGTCAATCCCTGGCATCATGGAATCAATATCATATTAGTGAATCTTCCTATTTCCTAAAGTCCTAGTCTGCCTCAGTTTGGTGAGGCTGATACACTGGATTCTAGGAATAAGTTGAGAATGTATAACGTACCCAATTCCAATTTTGAATATTAGCACTGAAGAATTCCACTCAACATATATTAATGTTCTGCTTAAGTAGTTTTGTTTACTAAAATCATCCAAGTGGAGCAATATCTAAACCTAATTTGATTATGAAAACTACTTTGTTGTTTTTTCACATCGTTTAAAAAAATCCTCAAAATTCATTAACAGTAGTTAAACAGAAACATGGATCTTAGCAACTAACAAGTTAAGACTACCATTTTAAATATATGACTTGGGAGCTGTTTATATTGTTTTAGATGATCAACTCCCTGTATCTCATCTTCTGGTTAATTTCTATAGTCACCAGTTATTTAAAAAGGAAAGGAAAAATAGTGAAAAAGAAGAAAATCTTAGAAACTATCAGCAGCTCTTATAAAGGCTAAGGTCAAAGATTTGGGAGAAGAAAAAAAAAAAAAACAACAAAAGGAAAACTAATGCTAAAATGTAGATTTACTTAAAAGTTACCAAAGACAGTAGCACACCGATCATAGATTTTTCAACAGTATATGTAAAGAACCCTAACAAAGATTTTATTGAAAGAATACTGTGGTATACATCTCCATTATATGGCACAGGCTAGAAACTGTCTCTGGTTGGAATAGTTTATATCTGTAAAAGATCAAGCAATGTACCTTTATTCTAGGAAGCCTGGGAAGGTTAAATGCTATATTTACATGCTTATTTAATTCTTAGAAGATCAACTAAGCTGACTAACAATTAAGAAGTAAACAGAGGCATTAAGCCAGAAAAATTTGGTCCTACCAATCTGAATCAGTTAGTTACAAAACATTTTAGGTTTGTCATTTAGGCACAGCCTAAGTCATTTTTACTTTTCATAATCTTGCTGTCTTCAGCTCGCTGTGGCTCATTTTAGAAGTAAGCAAAGACTTTATATTTTATAATTACTCACATACTACTTCAATAGACAGTAGAAACATTAAATCACTTCTATACACATGAAAAAATTCTGAGTTAAAAAGAAAATAAGAATCTTACTACATTTTAACAGGGTAAAGGTAAAGGGATCTCTATAGCAGCGTTTCACAACTGCAGTCATGAAACTTTCATGACATTTCATGAATAAACACACAAATAAACACACAAACCCTGAATTATCCTATACTATACTTTCTTCTAAAGTAAAAAATAATACATATGAAAAAAAATCTAACATACATATATATTATACAATAATCAGCTTTTAAGAAATGATGTGCCCAGTCATGAATGCTAGAAGTCAGAAAAGAGATCAGGAGGCTCTAATGTAATCTGCCTGTGTATCACTGTATATTTAATGTTTGCCAACTAGCCAACATTTTATCATAGATTGGTTAGCTAATTATGATGAAAGTGTTGTGTATTCTGTAATATCAATTTATAATATTAGTTTATAAACAGTTAATAAAAATTTGGTAATTTTGAAACTATTTTTCTCCTATACTTCAAGGATACATTTTAAATGTATCATCAACTCCCTGTATCTCATCTTCTGTCCCCCGCCCCCTCTATTCTATCAGTACTTTATTTTCAAAAAATATTCCATGGATAACTAGTTTTGGTATTCTATTGTGTATGAACACAATGACTCCTGCTCCTAACTTTATTTGCCTTATTGCCATGTTTTTCTAGTTTTATTCATTTTTCTTTAAAATGCAGAGAAAGTTGCAGCTTAGTACACTACACAAAGGAGTCACATTTGACTGTTAAAATTTCCCCCCTATTCATTCAAGATACAAAGAAGCTTTCTTGGCTTACATCTTTTCTAGGTTTTTATTAAAAGTATTATTCTGTCTGATAAGGAATAAACTGATCAAGATGGTAGCTTCCCATTAACTATAAAAAGTGATTTGCTTACAAGGGACCACTGCACACTGAAAAAAATTATAAATAATAAAAAAAAAAAAAAAGTTAAGGTGGCCATGAGCTCAGCTGTTAGTTATACAGTTTTTACATAGTTCTGTAAAGCATATTTTAAAGTGTCTTGCATAGTACGTTAGGTTATAGGCTGCTCTGGCATTATTTCTTGAGTAAGTTTCCATATTCTTGCTAGGATTAAGGCACTATAACAAGTCATTGAAACTATATAAAGTTAATAACAATCATACAAAACAAAGAAGAAGAAATGAAAAGTTATCCCACTTACAAGTTATACCCCTTATTTTTCAGTTAGTTGGTCAGAAAAGTTTAGGTCCTATGTAACCATCTGTGAGCTTATATGAATAGGTCTGCAATCTATACAGACAGACAAAATAAGCAAAGAGCTAACCTTGTTTGTTGTATGGTGTTCAGCCTAAACCCAAGGATAACCCTGGTAATAATTATAGCTTTGATAATTTCTTACTTTTTTTCATCTCACCTGCCACAAGTTTCACTACTCATGGCCTTATTATACCACTGCTCTTCAAAATATACCATTCTGCTATGTGATTCATGCAAAACTTGTGAAATTGCACAACAATCAGCCAAATTTGAATCTGCCATTCAGATTATATTCAAATTATATTCAAAGATTCCAAACATGGTATTGAACTTATTCCTGCTGAATGGGTAGATGAACATAAAATCTTTCACATCATCTCAGATTCTTTCATGGACATTCAAGATGAAGATAGTAAGGTTTCTAGTCAACTTCTAGCTCTATTTTCTTTTCTAATCATCTTTGCTCATTTTTTTTTTTTTAAAGAATTTCACAACATCCTGTATTTCTGTTCAGCTCAGCCAAGAAGAACTTTCTGCATTCTGTGTGCAGCAACACTAGCTTCGTCTTCTGAGTCAGATTCACTCTGGGAAGTGGAGCTGTGAGAGGCAGAACTGCAGGGTGAAGAGCATTCTGGCGAACATAAGTAGTGCATCAGTGGGAGGCGATACTTCCCACAGAAATCCACAAATTTAATTTGTCTGACACAGCAGTCAAAGTAGACTCCTAGAGAAAAGGAATACACAGTAATCATTACAAATCAAAGAGCCACAGTTTGATATTTTTTCCCCAGAATTCTGAAGAACTGTCACATACTTTTCTCTTTTATGAACTGGTGCTGAGGACTGAACCCAGTACCTCACACATGCTAGGCAAGTACTGTACCACTGAGCTACAACCCCAGGCCTCTCTTATGAATCTTAAACAGAATTAGTAGTCACTTTTATAGCACTACATATAGAAATACTGGAGGGTCTTAGGGGTGGAAATTTGGCTGCAAGAGGCCAGGAAATTTATCTTCAGGAAGTGGGTCATTAAGGACATTTAGCATCTTTTCTGTGAGTGACTTGGTGTCAGTGGCTGATGGAGATTACAGGATACCTTAAGTGCCCTTTTTCCATCCCCCAAGCCACCCCTTTGGCTTTGTCCCACAGGCAGGAGACTAAAGCAAAACAAAAGTCCCCTTTTATAATTCTCTTAAGAATTAGATATGCACAAAATATGCAGTAAGGAGATGATGTTTGGTACTCCTGTTCTTACAATCTGAAAAAGCGAAAGCAAAAGAAACAAAATACCATCTTACATTTACGTGGGCTCTAAATCTATAGGCTGCAAAGCTGATTGACTGATGATTTCACTTGATTCTCACACAATTACTAGCAGGCAGCTCTTCTGGTTCCTAATTTAGTGCTCCTGATAGTTCTTCAATAGGCAGAAATGTGGCCAGTGCAGAAGAAAAAAGGTTTACATGCCTCTGGGTTTCAGTTGATCCTTAAAAAGATACTGCACATCTCTGACATACCAAGGCTGTCCAACAATTGCAGTAAAACCAGAATATCTAGAAATTTGGGTTCACTGCCTTTCTGGAGAGGAATTTCAACTTTTACACTCTAACTTAAGTTTCCCAGCTACTGTGTGTTTGTCACAGAAGAGATCAAAATAAAAACATGTATCCAAGAAACAACAATGATTTCTAAATACCACTCTGCTAACCTTGCATAGGTTAGCAGAGTGGTATTTAGAAACGATTTAGAAAAATAGAAACATTCAATAACTGGTTTGTCAGTAAACTAATAATAAATCCCTAAAAATGTGTTTGCAGCCCAACAAGAATAAAATAAAGCATTATGGAGTTACTATAAGCTAAAAAAATACAATATTTTGTTATTTGTCAGTCACATACAAAAGGAAAATCTCTCACAGAATATAAAAATATAAAATTATTTTTAATTCATAATTCAATAACGAGAATCTGAGGGGGGAAATATCTAATAGTTCATTTTACATATTATCTCAAATTTTAAAATGGTAATTTTTAAAGCATTCCTAAAATAAATAGCACTTCAGTGTACTAAAAAAGTTAAAAGAAACCATTTAAGAGAGAAAAGAAGTTCATTTCCAGAAAAGGATGATTCAAATCAGACTAGATTTAGACCATGAGGCATGGAGGCCTTTTGTGAATTCTGTCCTGTGTCCTCAGCCATTGTAAAGCCAATTCATGAAAGAGAAGCCAGAGAGGTTTATGCACTTTTCACAAGACACAGAACTGCAACCTCTACTTCTAAGAGTGAATAGCCAGAAATGGCCTAACGTGTGGTCTGTCTTATCTTTTTTAAACCCAGTGTATCTTTTTCTTTTTTATTTTATAGCAATCTTTGAGTAACTTAATAATTTTCTCATTTTTTAAAATATTATAACAGTTTTAAGACAAGAGGAGACTTTCAGGGAAAATCTCACCTGATTTTTGACCATTGTTATGTAACATTTCTCCAGTACTTATATTTACACTACAAATATTTCTATGACCCTATTAAAAAGGAGTTTTTAAAAAAAGAACTTTTATAAGGAAGCCAAAATAAAATGATCCACTATCAGTCACCAATTTCTACCCACACAGTCTGGCATTTCAGGTCCTTTTCAATCTGGTCTTAATGAATCTTTTCATTCTTGTTTCTCATTACTGCCCTAACTGAACATGTGAGCCAACTGCCATTCATCTAACACTCTGCCCCATACTGTTCTGTCTCCACTTCACTTTCTCCATATGAAAATTTCCTATCCTCAATCTTACCCTATTACAATCTAACTACTGTCAGGAATTATCTTCTCATTCCCACTAATCAAATACACCCCCCCTCCTTTAATTCCTAGTGGCATTCTGAATTCTTTGAGATACCTTAGACTGCTCTGCATTTTATTATTTGTTTAATTCCCTCCAAATCCTCTATGAATTTGAAAGAATAAATTTTAAAGAATTAAAATTCATAATATAAAGTTCTATGGTACTATCTTGAAACTGACATGCATTTGGCCATTTCACACATCCTGAATCACACTCTTTTTAAGGTTATCTGATACAAAGAATGGTAAGCCTAAGAAAGTGTCCTTCAAATAACATAAATGATGTACAAACATTCTAGAAACACTTTTTAAACAATAAGGACTATTTACACTTCCTTTGTGTTTCCTTTCCTTTTACCATCTTACTTTTTATTATCTTATGATAATAAAGCCTCATAAGACTGAGACTGCCTGGGTATTTTACTTATGGTGAATCCAAAAATATTATGGAAAGAATTTAGAAAAGAAAGAGCTGGACATAGTGGCACATGCCTGTAGTCCCAGAGATTTGGGAGGGAGTACAAGTTCAAGGCCAGCCTAAACAACTTGGTGAGATCCTGTTTTAAAATAAAAAATTAAAAAGGACTAGGATGTAGCTCAGTGGTAACATGCCCTGGGTTTAATGCCCAATACTAAAACAAGAAAAAGAAAAAAAGGGGGCAGGAGGAGAGAGAAAGAGAAAGAGAGAGAGAGAGAGAGAGAGACAGAGAGATCCTCAGAAGGTGAAATGTCTTAACTTTAAAAGGATGAAAGAAAAAAAAAACTATCTTTCTCTGAAAAAAGTCTTAGCTAATTAAAACAACATTTAGATCAAATTTTTAAAATAGCTAAATGAGTAGGAAACACTAACACTACTTTACTTACCTCCACACTTTGGGTTTGGGCAATTGCTGGCTAAACTTAAGTATCTAAGAAGATTTCCCGGAAGATCATAAGGAGTGTAGGAAATGTTCCGGATCTTAATGGTCCGTGCAGCTAATTCCAGGAGAGTTGGAGGGTCATATGTTAAATCTCTGACAAAACGAACAACCAATGGATTTCCTCGTAAACTCAACTCTTCCAAATGAATAAGGTTGAGGATCTCTCGAGGCAGGTATGTCAGCAAGTTATTGTGGAGACTGAGGGAACGAAGTGAATGCAGCCTAGAATGAATGCAGTACAAAATCAATGGCAGTGGGTAACATAAGCTGAGTTTATATATGTGTGTGATTATATGTGCATGCATGTATATATGTATTTATGTATATAGAACCTGACTTCCCGAAAAAATGAACAACTGAGGTTAATGGAAATAAAATTAAAAGATGCTGAAACTAGATGGAGTACAGCCTTATAAATGTCATGATAGACTTTTGCCCCTAGAATCTTATCTTAGAATACTTAAGAGTATTTTATGTGTAATATTATTTTTAAAGATTCCAATACCTAAAAAAGGAAAGATTTCAGATGCAATAAAAATGAAGATCCCCTACATTATAAAGCCTCATAAGAAGTGTAGGATAAGAATTTTTCATATCAAATATAAATTCACTAGAAATCCCATAAAACCTAGGGAAACCTATGTCAAATTAATATACTATTTTTTGATTACATAAAACAAGCTGAACAAATACTGTGAGGAATAAACTAGAGCATTTAAAAGTAAAATTAAAAATAACCCAACTCACAGTAAATCCCAGAGCCATAATTATCATATCAGTTGCTTTGAGAATATCTAATTCTTATCTGTCTATAAAACATGTGAGTTAATGCAAGACAACAATTTCTATGCATGGATGTATGTGTATATACATAAATTGCCTGAAACTACTCACTGTGAAAGCTGAGGAGGCACACTTTGGATTTTGTTGTCACATAATACCAAGTAAGTCAGAGAAGGCAAATTTGCTAATTCTGGTGGGATTTCTTTGATGAAGTTTCCTCCAAGATATAAACACTCTAAACTGCAAAAGAAAATGAACAAAAACAAAAAAGTAAATAAATATAACTTAGACGAAGCACTCCATTGTCTCTACTACAATGAGCCCATTTGATCTGTTCAGCAAATGTTTTACTTAGGATTTGTTACATGCTACCCATACTCTAGAGAAATAATGCAAGCTTCAGGGAGCTTATATCATAACTAAGGAGACATGACACACCAATGTTAGACAATAGTATAATCAAACACAAAATCGGTCCAAAAATAGGGATCACACAATTAAAATATCAAAATAAGGAGAACAACTCACAAATTAGAGAGGAGCTGAAAAGAGGAAGAATAAAATAAAACCACAATAGTACTAATTAGAAAAACTTCCCAAAAGTACTACAATGTAGGATGGGCTATGAATTTAGTCCATTTAGATGGGAAGAAAGAGGAAGTTTCAAGGTGAAGAAGAGAACTTTTAAAGTTCAATGAGTACACTGTTTTAGGGAAGAAGAAAATTCTTCTTAAGAAATCCACAAACAAGATCGAATCCATGGTAGTATGCTTGGGTTTAATATAGTAGCAAGCAAGAGGAAAACCATTAGCCTTTTTTTTTTTTTTAAGTAGAAAAATATATCTGAAGCTTCTATATTTCTTCTTTGCTCTTATTATAACAAGTACATTCTCAGAGGCTGACCAAATAATATATAAAGCTGACCATTACCATGAAGTTAAAGTTCAATATAATTATCCTATTTACTAGAAAATAAATTAGTATTTTGAACAGAGCATGTATTGCACCACAGTACAATACTATTCTCTAATGACTATAGAAAGCCTGCAAAATCCAAAAGATTTTCTGCAAGGGGTGGCAGAATTAGTTCTTAAAATATATATGGAAATAAACAAACATATACACATCCTTTCTATTACTGTTACTTTTGTCGTCTGTTAAATCTGTTAACTCAGAAGAACTAACATTCTTTCAAAATATCTTTAAAATGGGAGAAAATAGCCAGCTTAGCAATTACTCAAACTTCTATGTTAAGAATTACCTGGAGGGGCTGGGATTGTGGCTCAGTGGTAGAGTGCTTGCTTGGCATGCATGAGGCACTGGGTTCGATCCTCAGCACCACATAAACGTAAAATAAAGATACTGTGTCTACCTAAAACTAAAAAATAAATATTAAAAAAAAAAGAATTACCTGGAATACTTTCAAAGCTACAAAATCCTGGCCCCATCCAGATGCACTGAATTTGAGTTCTAGGGGAGGGGCCTGAAAAAGGGTAGGTTTTAGAATATAAGGTATAATTTTAACAGATAAAGCCAACTTGCCCTCTAGAGCTATCGTTCTCTACATATCCACAATCAGCATTTGAGAGTACTCCTTACTTAACCCATTACTTTGCCAACACTTAGGAACATCACTGACTTTAATTTTTAAAACAGGTATCTGACGGTGTGGAAAATGGCATCATTCTGTGCTTTTAATTTGCAGATCTGCCGTTCCCTAATTATTAGTGAAGTTTAGTATCTTTTTTATGTTTTGGGCCAAATGTGATTCTTTGGAGAACTTCCTGTTCATTTCATTTTCCCATTTTTCTCATGGGTTAGATGACTTTCACTCATTAATTTGTTGGGAGCTTTGTTGTTGTCAAATATATGTTCTATGCAACTTTGTTCCTTTATGGCCTATAGCATGGTCTATTTTTATTCATGTTTTATATGTACTAAAAGAATGTGTGCCAATCTTATACACTGAGAAACTCAAATTTCTTTTAGTTTATCTTACTACTTTGCCTTCTTACTGGTTTTCTCTCCTACCTTAACTATGGTTTTTCTTCTTTCCTTCAAAATTGTCAATTTTTGCTCTTTTCCTTCAATATAGAAGTTATATTGCAGATAAATTCAAGTTCCTGCCTTCCAAAACTTCTGTTGAAGTTCTTTAATTCACATGAAACATTTCTCTTTGTTCCTTTAAATTCACTAGGAGAAGTGGTTCGGGAGGAGCACTGTGGGGCAGGAATGGAAGCAGAGGTGTGACTGGAGTCTGATGCAGCAGTTTGGAGAAGCTACATTGCCTGGAATCTTTTTCTATCCTTTGAACTGACTGGTGAATCTGTATTTTAAATGTAATTCTAAAAACAGGGCATGATTTGATTGTTCTACGTGTTTTTTTCCCCTTCACTCTGCCCTTTGCTGTGGACATCATTTCCTTTGTTCACTGCTCCCTGCTGTTTTACCCTGCAGTAGGTGCTACTTCTATTTTAATATCCCCAATTTTGTTACCCCTTCAATTTCCTTTGCATGCTCTCATTCCTAAACACATCCTTGCGCCATTCTTTGACCTTCTCTTTGTATCATTTTCTAGACTTAGTTTTACCTTGATTTTCTACCGTTTTACTGATTTTAAATAAATTTATTATGAATCAATATACAGATTTATCAACATCTTTTACCAATTTCTTTGTTCATCATTATTTTTGGTACATCTTTTAAAATTCAATTTTCCTTCAGAAATTCCTTCAGCAAAGACTCATGGTTTAGACTTTGAATATTCTGATTTATTTATTTTTGGTATCAGGAATTAAACCCAGGGACACTTAAAAATGAAGGTACATCCCAAGCCCTTTTTATTTTGAAATAGTGTCTCACTAAGTTGCTAAGTTGTTGAAGCTGGCTTTTGAACTTGAGACCCTCCTGCCTCAGCCTCCTGAGCTTCTGGGATTACAGGCATGTGCCATTGCTCCTGACTCTGATGTCTTTATTCTGCCCTTCACTCTTGAGTAATAAGTTAGTTGGACATAAAATTCTAGGTTAGCGGTTACTTCTTAGCATTTGGAAGATACTGCTCCATTATCTAATTACAGTCAATATCACTACTGTTCCTTTGTAGGGGGTCTGCTTCACCCCTCCCTCAGTGCTCTTGAGTATTTTTTCCACTATCTTAAGTTTTATTATAAGGTGTCAAAATATCAGTTTAGAGAGTTAGCTTTATTTAATTGTGGGAAACTTCAGTCACTATTTCGACCCTCATTGTCTTTCATTCTTTTTTTTCTTCCCCCTAGAATTGCTCTTGGTAGTATGAACTTCAGGATCTATCCTTCATCCCATTTCGTTTAAGCCTTTCATTTTTTATCTTACTGTGCTGCATTTCAGAAGAATGCCTTAGCAAGCTCTTGGCTTTTGGACTCATTCTTTGGTGGAATTCACGCCATGTAGCCCATTTAGTAAGTTCATACATAGTCAAGTCCCCTTTATCCTTGAGGAATATATTCCAAGACTCTCAGTGGATGCCTGAAACCAGGGATAGTACTGAACCCTATAATTTATTGCCTTTTCCTTCTTAACTGAGCACTTATAGTGCTCTCTGGTTTGATATTTGACACAAAACTACCACGAATTTTTTTCCTTCTTTATAACTGCACAGCTAGATTTGTTCTTACCACAGATTTTAGCAACTGAAGCATACAATGTTTTTCTCTTCTAAGTAAAGAACTTAAACCTTTTAATTTAAAGAAAGCACTTTATGGATTTTCTTTAACGTATTTGAATTTCCTGCATCATTATTCTTATACTTTGTGGCCATTATTAAATAAGGGCCATTGAACATATAAGCATGTGCTACTTCGACAGTTGATCTGATAACCAAGGCAGTTACTAAGTGCCTAAGAGGCAGGGTATAGAGTATATAAGTGTGACAAAGGGATAAGTCACATATAGGGTAGGACTCTACAAGATTTCATCATGCTACTCAGAATGCAGTACAATTTAAAACTTATAAAACTGTTTATTTCTGGAATTTCCCATTTAATATTTTGACTGCAGTTAACCAGGAAAGCAAAATCACAAATGGGGCGGGGGGGGGGGGGTATTATATATTTTTTTTCATTTCTAGGAACTGGAGCTTTTGTAATTGTCAGTTTTAAAACTTCGTATTCTTTTGTTTCACTGATGAAGTTATTTTTCTTGATCTCTCTAAACTTAGAAAACTATTTTTAAATCCTTTACTGACAGCCTTATTAGATACTTTGTCAGGTATAATTTCTTCCATTCATTGAATTTCTTTTCTGTCTTTCATAATCTCAGCCTTCTGTGATGTGTGGTGATTCAGACAACCAACTTGAATCTGAAGTTTTTTTTTTTCTCAAATAAATGAATCATCCCCCGCCCCCAATTTCTGATAATGTAAAACTTTTCAAGACTACATTCCTCTCTAGACTCATAATACTAAGAAAAAGTAAGCAGACAAGTAATTTTGATATGCTACTTTTTTTCTGTTTCAAAGATTACCTTGGGGGGTTGGGGATGTGGCTCAAGCGGTAGCGCGCTCACCTGGCATGCGCGGGGCACTGGGTTCGATCCTCAGCACCACATAAAAAAAAATAAATAAAAGATGTTGTGTCCACCAAAAACTAAAAATAATATTAAAAAAAAAAAGATTACCTTGTAGCAAAAATCAACTATCTGGTTACAAGACTGGATTTTACCTCATATAAGTCCTAAATACTGGTGGTGGGGGGGGAGGATCTTGGGCAGAGTATTTTGATCCTGTCCCATATGGTATAAGTTAATATTCAAATACTCAGAAATCCCTATTTTTCAATGAGGAGAACTACTTAAGTAGAATAGAATATTTGGAATTCAAATAAATGAAACTACCCTAGAAAAGAAACTATTTTAATGAGAGGACTACTGGGGAAAAAGTTTGGCAAACTTGATCTAGTAGGGGGAAAAAAGTGAAGAAAGAGAAGAGTGAGTCCGAGGGCAAGTACAAACACTGTTCTATTTGCTTAGCTTAGTGTTATGTACAGAATGCCTGCATCCTCTCATAATTCACAATGAAACAAACCCTAACCCTTAATGCAATGTTATTTGAAAGTGATGTTTTCTGGAGGTAATTAGGATTAGATGAAGTCATTAAGGTACAGCCCACATGAACTGGACTAATGCCCACATAAGAGTCCTTAGAGAACATGCTTCCTTTCTCTGTCTTATGAAGACACAGCAAGAAATCTGACATTTATGAACCA